TCTCTGGCTGGTTTGTGTGTGTGTGTGTGTGTGTGTGTGTGTGTGTGTGTGTGTGTGTGTGTGTGCAGTAGACTAGGATACATGTCTTGGTACTGAGTTGATCCTTCCACTTGACTCCTGCTGTGTTCTCCGCCCAATAAAAAGCATCCCTTTCTATTAGGCATCCAAGCTAGAAGCCTGGAAGTCACCCTTGACCCCTCTCTGTCCTCTCCCATCTCCTACATCTGTTCAATAGCTAGCTTTCATCTCTTTTGGAGATTATCAGCATCTACCTCTCATTCACTGCTGCTGTCTGAGGTCAGCCCTTAGTTTTTCATCACAGCCACTGTCAAGAGTGTCTGAGTAACTGGTGTTTCCTCCAGTCTTACCCCTTGCTTAACGCCCGCCCCCCCCCAACACACACAGCAGCCCTTGTGATTTTGCTAGAGTATGAATGAGTTCCTGTCTCCCTCTGTTAACGTTGTTCCAATCCTCTGCAGTGTTTCCGGCAGGAACTGGAAGGTGACTTGACCCCTCCTGTGACCTGACCCTCCCTCCCCTACCTACCTCTTTGGCTTTGCAACTTGCCTCCTTCAGACTTCCTGGGAACCAAGACTCAGCCCTTCTGAACTTCCTACAGTTCCATAAATGTACAAATCTCTTTCCTGTTTTTAACACTGAAGTATCAACATGGCAAAGTTATTTACCCTTTGTGCAAACCACAGGGCACAGCTGAAACTGGCTAGGCATGAGCCTGTGCTGTGGCCGCTGAAGGTATTAATATTTTAAACAAATAATGAAAACCACTGTTTCAATCTCCCAATTTTCTGAGAGAAAGAGATAAGTCCATGGATTCTGCTATTCAAAATCAAGTGAAATGAGAAACTGAAAAACATTTGTCATAATAACAAGACGTTGGCTGTTGAGCTTTTAACATAAATTTATAATAAAATATATTTTCCTTTCTACTTTCCTTACTCTATACAGGAAGACTTTCTTGGTCTTGTTTTTGAATCTATTTTGTGTCACCTGCGTGTTCTTCCATGAGTCACTTACCTCTCTGTCTTTTAGTGTCTTCATTTATAAAAGGATGCAGTATTAATACCTATTTCAATGGGCCCCTGTGAGTATTAAATGCAGTAGTATCAATGTAAGCCTTAAGACATTACTGACTTATAAGGGCAGTATTAAGCATTAGCTACTATTATCATTGTCATTTAAATTTTTTAAATTTTTTGATTAAAAGTATTTAATGGACACATAAATATTGTACATATTTGTGCTTACCACATGATGTGGTTTGGTTTTGTTTTCTTTTGTTATGTTTGAGATAGGTCTTGCTATGTAGTTCAGACTGGCTTTGAACTCTCTGTATAGCCTAAACTAGCCTGGAATTGGCAGTGATACTCCTGGATCAGCCTCCCAAGTGATTGCATTATAGGCATGCCCCACCACACCCAGCTACCAGGTGTGGTTTGCTACATATATACATAGTGTAGTGTTCAAATCAGGATAAATATATTCATCTTTTTATTTACCATTTCTTTGAGGTGAAAACATTCAAAATCCTTTCTCCTAGCTTTTCTGAAAGGCACAATATATGATCATTCTCTGTAGTCACCCAACATGCAGTATAACAAAAAGCATGTATTTTGTAATTTTACACTAGATCTTAGCCAAAGGGTTGACAAATGATTACATTTTGTAATTTTTAAACCTACAAGACTCTTAGTTTTTGACTGAATAATTCACCCCCAACACTCTCTGCCTAGCCAATCTCTTTCAAAACTGAACTCCACTTATAAAAGAGAGAAGTTTATGAGCTTCAGTGGATTGACCTACATAGCAGAATGGTTAAACACAAATTGGATATATCAATGCAATGAAATAGCCTGCATTCACTAATGCTACTTTGGAGGAATGTTTGAGTTGTTTGTACCATGGAACAATATTAAGTAACAAATTATGACATATTAATTCAAGAAAGAATATTAAATCCTAATAGTAAAACATAAAAGAAGATGCAGAATGATAGTCATTTTTAGTTTTTATTTATGACTTCCTCGATTAATTTAATATACAGTGGCTAGCTATATTTTCTATAAGAGAAAAACAATCTAATATGATTTTTAAAACATTCAAGCCTCACATTCTTTGAAAGCCTTTCTTGACTCTTCACTACCCTATCTAAAAGCGTGAACCCCCAACATCTCACCCAGTGCCTGTCACATAAGCTACCCTACAAGCTATGCACAGTTATTTTTCTTCTCTCCATGACCACTGCCAGTGGCCTACATGAAAATGGGCTATGAGCAAGATAAAAGCGCTACTCAAAAGAAGATGTTCATAAGGAATACTGCAAGTTTTCCTGAACCCACCAAATACCAGTGAGATTTGAGCTCCTCTCAGAAATTTAGCATTCCCTAAAATCACTGCCTTCCATTCTTGATAGCCAAAAAGCAACCTGTGGCATGTGACAAGGCCCATTTTCACTTTTAAAAGAATGAGGCTGGCTGGCTTGCTGGTCACAGAGGGGCAGTCCCTGATGATCTGCTTCAGCCAGCTCATGGTCCTGCAGTCTCCATTCATTTTAAAGAATTTTGTACTCATCTTTCCAGTTTATAATTCAATCTCTGCTCCATTTTTCCAAAGTGACTTGGATACCATAGTGGGAACCCAAAGGACTTGCCTCTTCTTGGCTTATGATCTTGGCATCATGACTGTATATTCTAGCTCCCTTTGGCTTTCCAGTCTCAACATTTGCCTCAAGTGATTCTCTGGCTGTAGACATCCCAGCTCTTAGAGGCTGGTGCTCTGGGCTCTGACATCAGTGGTCTCCCCAACATTCCTGAAGCTCAGCACTGCCCTCAAAGAGGCCAGGTTGTCTACATTGATGCCTCTGTTTTCTCAGCTGTTCTGGGATCTCTTCTGAGTGCATTGTCATCAGAGATTCCTTCTATGTCTAGGAGACAGGCAATAATATTCAATGTCTCTTCTGTTAAGAATTAATAACTGACCTTGCCATGGTGGTACTCCCATGTAATGCCAGTACCCTGAAGACTGAGGTTGGAGGATCACAAGCTTGAACCTAGCTTGAGAAATTTACCGACTTAGTAACACTGACTCAAAATTTTAAAACAGCTAGGGGTGTAGCCCAAAGTGAAGGCCTGGGTTCATCCTCGGGAACATGAAGTCAATAGATATGTTTTGAGAGACGCAGTCCAGTTCTGATCTTCTGGAATTCTTGTTCTTCTCTGAGGAGCCTCTCAGAATGAGACTCACTTCACAGACTAATCACTCATTCATATCTGTCATTCCCCTGAGAGCCCAGGGCAGGGTCTTCACCATCCCTCAGGAGGTTGGACATCAGCACTCCTGGCTCTTTAGACAGAGTCTTCTCCTTAGCACACAGTGGGTTTAGACTTAACTCAGAACTACTATTCAGTGGCTGAGGGATAACCTTCATCCTCACATTCCTCAACACTTTGCTTCTCCTTCTGGCATGCAGCGTGTCTTCTTCCACCTTGTGCGATCGTTATTTCTGACACTCTCAATACATCTCTAGACTAAGATCTCCTAGAGGGAGGGCTTCATTCAGCTGTATCTGTCTTGCCAAACAACAGATAGCTAGCAAGTTGGGCTGACTTGAAATGCCACAGGTAACAAAATCGGTGTGGACCTGGGGACATAAGACACATCCTCCTCTGCTTATAGCCAGGGCCTAGAGGCTGCAGATGAAACTGCACGAGAGACCATGGAAAGACCACACATGTGCTATCAGGGAGGGCAGAACTGTAAAGCTGGCGATGGGGGTCTCGGGGAAGATCAGAATATTTGAAGCAAATCCTGTGGGAAGAAACGGATGAGGACAGAAAGAACAGAGGAAATGGGCAAGAGCAGTTTGTGAGTGTGAAGAGGTAGGGTGACCTTGTACTTTATCAACTGACCCTGAAATCCCCAGGATGCTGCTTTGACCCCTCCTACACCATAGCTTGAATGCATCTGAGGACTGGATCCCTCTTTTCCCTTTTCTACTTTCTTTCTCAGAGCATAGCAGGTTCAAATATGGGGCTTGGGGTCAGTGGGAGGAACAGAATTTGCACTAAAGCTGAGTGAGATTTGGTCCAATCATATGATGAATTTCTCTTGTTTGCCCTATTTCATATACTACTGTATCCCTGGCCTTGGTAAGCTTTCTTCCTAGATAGGCCTCCAGCAGCTATGAGACCAGCCAGGCATTGACAGGGACATGAGGCATTCCCTAAGGAGTGCTTGGGAAACACCCAAGTTCTGTGTGTAACATAGATAAATTCATTTCTAGGTAGTTAGTCCTATGTCTATACTAGAAACATATTCCTTGTCTGAGTTTTCCACACTTGATTCTAACTCATTTCTTTCTCTTGCTTTCTGATCGGCTCAAGAAACTATACTGAAATCTTTACCTCTTTTCCATTCCCACCCTGTTCTAGAAGAGGCTGCCCGATATCTCTTCTGAATGAAGTCCTGATTAGATGGGTCTTTGCGTGCAGAAGAGCTGGTTCCTGTCTAGGCTCACACTCTGTGTTTGCTATGGACACTACAGCTAACCTGGAAAGACTGACGCGAAGCCTCCAGGTTGTGGCAGGGCCAACCACCAAGAGCAGTTTGGTTCTCTTCCACCAGCCCTTTCTAAAAGCAGGTGTGAACCTTTCACACTTCCTCTCAGATCCGCAGTCCCCAGTCACTGTCATTGGTATACCACTTCCCTCTTAGGCACAGCCCACTTCCCCCCTCCAGCTCCCTCCTCTTTCTTCTGTGATGACAGCATCCTGAGGAAGAGAAGTTGTAAGGAAGACTTCACTTTCAGCTAGCTGAAGTTTCCCTATTAGTGCTGTGACATCATCCCTACCCTGGAAATTCCACTCATCCTCCTGTGCCCCCACTTCTGGCCCAGGCTTCAGAGTCCCTATAAAGAGGGGGTCCCAACTCACAGCAGCACAGGACACAGGTTCTGAAGCTTCTGAGCTCTGCAGGCTCAGCTCCACCAAGCCTCTGAATTCTGCAATCTTGTCTCCACCATGACCATGAAATCCTGCATGATGGTCCTCACTCTCCTAGTGATCGGAGCTGCCTTCTGCTCTCCAGTGCTCTCTGCACCAAGTAAGTCCACCTTTTCACTGTCCTTTCTAGCGTTAAGAAGTACACAGAGTCTACGTGTTTAGTTGGGGCTGGTCCAACAGCAGGATGTAGGGAGGAGACAAATGGGAGCTGGGAAGATTTCCAACAAGTTTGCTGTTAAATGAGTCTAGTAGACATCCAATAATATTCAAACTTCCATTATCTTAGGATAAACATGAGATAGAGGAAATGGATGAGTGAGAAGTCCAACTGTTGAACTGGCTCTGTCTCTGATTATTGGTCTAAGCTTGTCCCCCTCTATGCTTTAGTTTCCCATCTGTGACCTGAAGACAATGAGGCATGTTCTGAGACTCAATGCAGTTCCAGTGTTGTAGAATTCTTTCTTGTCTTCTCTGGGGGTCCTCTCTTTAGATAGGTGGGCATGGTTCACAAGGGACTATATTTGGGGTTATTGTAGTATCATAGAGATGCAAAGAAGATTCATCTCTAGCAGCCAAATGAACAGCTCCCATACCAAGTTTTGATCTCACTCGGACTTTTCCTTCCAGTGGGCTCAGACCCTCCCACAGCCTGCTGCTTCTTTTACACCCAGCGGAAGCTTCCTCGAAACGTTGTGACTGATTACTATGAGACCAGCAGCCTCTGCTCCCAGCCAGCTGTGGTGTGAGTGTCAACCCCTGGGCTGCTCTAGTAGGCAAGGGTGAAGGCAGCATTGAAAAGAGGCCAGTTGGGGGCAGGGCATGATCAAGAAAAGGAGAAGTGGCTCTCAGAGCTGAATCCCTGCCAAAAGCAGTAAGGGAAAGAACAGGTCATGAGATCAGTACTTGAGTCCTGAAAGTAGCTGAGTTGGTGGCAAAGTAGAAGGGGGTTCCTGGAGAGGATGCTAGCCAGAGGCCAGAAAAGAAGGAAGAGTTAAGAAAAAGAACATGAAATATGGAAAGATTTGTCAAGCCATGCTACAAAATGTGAAATAATCACTGTTAGCAGTTTTAGAGAATGGGGAGATAAATTCACGTTGCCTGCAAAACCCAGTGGTTCCTAATCTGGCAAAACTCCGGGGCTATAGCTAAACCCATGGGTGGAAGTTAAAGTAGTCTGGCTTCAGTTCTACCCAGGAAGGATCCCATGCACTAGAGCTGTCCAAGATGAACTATGGTCAAGCAAAGGGAGGTGTCTCTGACAGGCAAAGAATGGTAGCAGATGACTTGAAATGTTCCATGAGATTCTACTTTGTCTATTTCTTGTTCTACAGATTCCAAACCAGAAAGGGCAAGCAAGTCTGTGCCAACCCCAGTGAGCCCTGGGTCCAGGAGTACGTGGAATACTTAGAACTGAACTGAATTCCTCAAGCTCAGAGGCATGATGTCTTCAGGGAAGGTCACCTGGGCCCAGACACTTCACGCTGAGATGCGCCGTGTTCTCCAAGCTGACAATGCCTCTCAGTAGTTTCTGTCCCTTCTCATAATTTATTCTTCAGTGTGTGCTCTGTTATTGGATTCAGTATCATTTTTATTATTTATGCTTGACCAAAGGACACGTCTCCCATGGAGATGGTCCATCATCATTCTCTTTGTGCTATTATGCATACATGGAAGGTGCAGTTGATTCCATGAATTTTCATAATAAAACTTTTTTTTAAAATGGAAACAGATTCTCTGTGATTTTGATTGGATTTAAAGTGAAGTAAAGGCAATTCTATTAGTAGGGACAAATTTCAGTTTCCAAAAACCAGTAACAATGAATAAGTACTGAGTCCTTAACTTGTGCTCTGAGGAAAATATTCTTAATACATAATTCACTTAATACTTTCAACAAGGATTTTAACACCTTTATGAAGTAGGGGCTGTTGCCTTTGATGAACAGGTAAAGAAACAGAGGCAGAGAGGCAAAATGACTTGCTGAGATCTGCTCGGAGAGCACCATGAGAGGATGACATAAAGATTAGCTGAGGTCCTGAGGCTTATCAGTCAAACATCTCATGGGAAAATTATCAGTGGTGGCAATAGCACATTATAAGGGGAAGAGGAAGTAGCTCGGTGTCAGAAAAGTGACTTTATCATAATATCAGTAACTTTAGGAAAATCTTCTTGCCTTACTTACATGACTTCAGGTTTCCTACCTGTGAAAGGGGGATAATATTACTCACTTGGAAGGGCTGCTACGAGTTGATGTATAGAGAACACGGGAGTAGAGTCCCTGAAGATTCTTTCCTTCCCTCTCTGAGTCTCAATATCTATCCTCTCAGGGTCATTGTGAAGGTCAGATTAGTTTATGGCTCAGCACTCTGAAGCTCAAAGCAGATGTGAGGTGGCATCATATGCGCAGAAACGCGGGCATGTGGTTTGATCCAGAAGTGTTCCAGAACTAACCTAAAGCCATGGCTACTTAGCAATTCTCAATCCGAATGTAATATTATGTGGATCAGAAAGAAATAATCTCTGAGTGTAATTACTTGTATAATAAGGCTTCAACTCTAGAAAATAGAATCACAGTCTGATACAGCCAGAAGGAACCCCTAGATTCTCCAGTCCAATCGTCTCATTTTATGGAAACCGAAGTCCAAATGCTGGGAAGAAATGTGCCAAATGCCATTCATCAACTGTGTGGCAGAGCAGAACTCAAGCTGTAACCAACCCTCAGTTTACTACCCTTTACTGTCCACCTCCCTAGTGACACCTTTCTGGAGTCCTGTCCCTGACCACACTTTTGTGGTCCCCAGAGGGTTCCTTGAGTAAAATGGGTAAGAAGGACACTACCATGAAAATTAGTAGAGTATTCTTAGTTCTACGCAAAAACAGAACTGGGGTCTGCTACTTCTTAGGGCCAACAGATGCCAATCCCCTCCTTCTCCTTCCTTCAGCCACTTCATTCCTCCAAAGCCCCCTGGAATTCTTCAGATTCCTCAGCCACAAAGAGCAGGAGGTTAGGGAATCAGCTGATTCAAAACAAGTGTGAGGAGAACCTAGCAGCCAAGAACCTGCTTGGTCTTAGCTTCGGATGTATTTGTCTACATCTGAGCTGCTAATATGCTAGCTACTAGACAGAGTGTGTGTTTAGATTTAATTAAAATTTGAAATTTCCCTTCTGAGTCATACTAGTTACATACACATGCTTGATAGTTACAGGCAGTAGTGGCTACCATGTTGGATAGTGCAAAGGTAGAGCTATCATCAGAGAGAGTTCCATTGGATGGTGTCATTGTAGCATATTATCAAAGCCTACAGAAAGCAAAGAGAGTGGGTGTCGGAGTCACAGAAAAGGTTCAATCATCGATCTGAAGAAAGATGTACAACTATATTATGCGGATAGGGTGGGAGAGAGAATGGATGATCCCCAGGCCTAGGAGAACATATAGATCATTGTAGTAGGCTGAACAATATCCCCCATGATATTTATATCCTATTCCTCAGAACAAGTAACAGTTACCTTCTGGGACAAAAGGCACTTTGTAGATAGGACTGAATTAAGTATCTTGAGTCAAACAGATTAACTGGTCAGACCTTAAATGTCGACATGTGTCTTTACAAGGGAAGCAGAGGGAAACCTGGTGATAGAACAGAAGGTAGCAACATGACAACTGAGGCAAAATGCTATTTGGCTGGCTTTGAAGATGAAGGAAGAGGGTCTTGTGGTACAAGAATGCAGCTCTGGAAGCTAGAAAAGGCAAGGAAATGGTTTCTTCCTGGAGCCTCCAGAAGGAGTGTTGCCCATTGAAACTGATTTCGGGCTTCTGACTTCAGATCCCCAGAAGTTTCAGAGACCAAATGTGTGTTGTTTTTAGACATCAAATGCCTTAGTCACTTTCTCATTGCTCAGACAAAATGCCTAACACCCACAACTTAAAGAAAGAGAGGCTTAGTTTGGCTCATGGTTTCAGTCCGTGGTCAGCTGGCTCTAAGGCAGAAATGGCATGATGGAAAGGTCTTGGAGAGAAGAGCCATTCAACCATGGCAGCCAGGAAACAGAGAGAGAGAAAAGCTAGGGACAAGAATGCAACCTTCCAGGTCACCTCCCCAGTGAGGCAACTCCTAACAGCACACTCGACTACTGCTGCACTCATGAATGGATGAATCACCCTTGAGTATAGTGCCCCTGTTGTGTAGCCATGGGGTTGTACGCACTGCTCCTTGTCTGGAACACTCAGCTACCAGGATCATAAACTATCAGCACCAGTAAGGAATTAAAGAGGTGGAGTCTAAAATAAAGGAAAACGATTTATTTGGAAAAGGGTGGAAAAAGAGAAGGTAGTTACTCTGGAAGAGTAGGGAGCATCAGAAAAGCAAATACTTTCCAGTTCATGTCCCTGGCTCCTTTTATTTAGGACTAGTGATTATTCCTATCCCCTATGTGGGCACCTGAAAGATGTCACCA